ACACACACACACACACACAAGACATTGATGCTTAGAGCATTTGCCCGAGTGCGTTACCTTGCTGCTACTCGGCCCGGCCCTGCTGACTCCTGGCGGCTTTCCATTTGGAAGGTGATCAGGTCGGACTTCAAATGCACCATCATCACCATCGCACACCGCATCCAGACCCTGCCGGCACCCAAGCGGGCAGAGCTGCGGGCGGAGCTGCACATGGCAGAGTGTTTAACACACGTTGACAGGATGGACTACGACAAGGTGGCCGTGTTTGAGGGTGGCAAGGTGGTTGAGTTCGACTCCCCCCAGGCTCGGCAAAAAAGCACTGACTTCCGTATGGCTGGGTGGCTAGGTGTCATGGCAGGAGCTGTTGAAGCAGCCGTCCAAGTTTCAGGCTTTGGCAAAGGAGGGCGGGGTGCTGACAGCTTGAGCCGCATGAGCCGCATGACACGTCTCACCTAAGCAAGTGCAGCAACATATCCGACAATGGATACCTGCAGACACTTTTTGTTTGTAAACGCATTGGGCCGCATTTCGCAAGTTTGACCAGTTTTCAGGGCAGGGCGGCGGTCCTAAAAGGGCTGCGTCCTTGTCCGTCTCCCTGCCCGCTTAGCAGCTTTCTGAAAGCCTTTGCTTTCTTCGCTAGCTTTGTTTCAGTCCCTTAGAGGAGAGACAAGGCAGCAGCACATTCGTGGGGGTCCTGGCGCCATGGTGCCATGCAGACCTAACTCACATGTGCAATAAGGATTGTTTGAGACCAGCAGCAAATTCAAAAGTTCAATTGTTGCCGATGGGTTGACGACCAGTTGACAGGGTTCCCCCGAAGACAACCCTCAATTGTCTTGGTTCGCCCACATGTATCACGCCAGATCAGCTGTCATGCTCAAGCTGAATCCAACATTTCCTTCTGACTGTCAGACTTGCAGGGACCGCACCTGCGCGCAGCGCTCGCAGCTCTTGACCAATACGATGCCGTCGCTGTCCTAGCTCAGCCACGCGCTCTATTCCGCACTCCGCCCGCTTTTGCGCTTGGCCCATTGAGGCAGGCCCTCCAGTGTGCACTTTCTGCTGTCGAAGCGTGTGCCGACCCAGTAGGCATAGACGCCGAGCGGGCGCGGAAACTTTGGTTGTTCTTGCCTCGCATGGTGCTCCACCCGGCCTGGCGGGGTCGCCCGCCTGCCAAGGCCTACGCTCCATGCTCGGTTCCAGGATTCTTCCGGGGAGACTGGCCGGCGCTCCTCGATGATGCAACTCCCGGGATAGCCCCGTGGTAGCCGCCGCCGCCACACACTAGCAACGACTCCCGTGCAGATCCTGCTGTCCACCTTGCGCTGTCAGCCGCCCAGCATGCCCTTCTCGCCGAGCCCTTGGCCCCCGGGTGCAAAAGCATGCTGCACCAGCTGCGTGATCCAGCCCGTGGTTGATCTCCCACGCGCAGCGCTGTTCGCCAACCTACGGCGAGCCAGGCGTGGAGCTGCGCCTGGCCCAGGTGGCTACACTTCAGAAATTGTCCGGCTTGTCCTGGATGTTGATGCTGCTGTTGAATCACTTAACACCAACACCCATCGCCGCAGCTTTGGGGCTGGGGCGACTCGTCTCCGTGCGCAAGCCGGCAGGCGGCATCTGAGGCATCGTCGTCGGCGACTTCCTTCGCCGTGTTGTTGCCCGAACTTTGGCCCAGCAATTTGTTGCCGCATTCAGCCAAGCCACCCGGCCCCATCAGTATGCACGTGCTACCCGCGCCGGCACCGGCCCTCACTGTGCTCTCGGTTGACGGTATTGGCGCATATGACCTCATCAATCGCGGCGCCAAGCTCCAGGCCCTCCGCAACAACCCCCCGATGTGCGGCCATCCTGCCATTCGTGAGGCTGTTCTACGGCCGCCATCCACGTTCCTTTGGCAAGACGATGCGGGGACTGTCCACCGCAGTCCAGGCAGAGGGCGGTGAACAAGGCGATCCGCTAATGCCGGCCTTGTTCGCCTTAGGTGTTGCCCCGGCTCTCGAGGCCGTTCAGGCGGAAATGCAACCTAACGAACGCGTGCGGGCCTCTCTAGATGATGTGTACGTGACTTCCCACCCTCCCCGAGTCGCGCATCTTCTGGCTAGGCTCCAGCATCACTTGTTTGCTCAGGCGCACATCCGCCTCACCCCTACCAAGGCCCGTGTTACAGCTCCAGTCGCGCCCGATGGCTCCGGGATGCTCTGGGTCGGGGACGCCGGTTTCCCCGCATCTAAACGTGGTTTGCGTATCCTTGGCACTCCTCTCAGTACGCCCGAATACATTTCCGCCCAGCTCGAGACACTATCCACTCAACATGGGGCCCTGTTTGCGAGGCTGACGTGCAGGTTGCCTGGCTCTTGCTGCTGTTTTGCGCATTGCCACGGGCACAGTACGTCCTCAGGGTTCTTTTGCCTCCGCACCAAACGGCGGACTTCGCCGCCTCGCATGACCAGTCAGTCCTTGCCTGCCTGGCCGCACTTCTCCGTGCTGAGTCCTCCGGAGCGTTCCTGGCAAACAGTTTCACATGCGGGCGCGCGCAACTCGCCATGCAATATGGTGGCCTTGGGCTCCGCAGCGCAGCTGCCCATGCTCACGTAGCATATTTGCGTCGTGGGCCGATGCTTTGCAGGCCATAGATGCGCGTGACCCACGGTTGTGGGCTGCGGCTGCGCAGCAACTGCAACGTGTCGCCTGCACTTCGCATTGTTTCGTAGCCTTGCAAGCCGCTGTCCGCAGCCAAGCGACAGCAGGATTTGCGGGCCCCCCTCGTGGAGTCAGCTTGCGCGTGCTTCCCCTCCAAGGGAGGCCCACGAGGATGACGAGCCTGCGGACCTCACTCGCGGATGGCAACGGTCAGCCTCCCGCGGCATCCCTCACACAGCGCCTTGATGACCCGTCCGGGCCCTGCTGCAGTCCCAGTCAGGCCCGTTCGCTGCCAGAGTTCTTACCACACTGCCCACCTCGCCAGAACTCCAGCTCGAGGCCGCTGCCTTCCGTGTGCTGTTGCTCCGCCGCTTGCGGCTACAGCTGCCTTTGGTTCCCGCCACTTGCCCTTGCAGGCACCTCTGGAGACCACGTGCGTCCTGCCGCGCTCTGGTTTGTTACGGCCCCGGGCCATCCCGCTCGAAAGAGCAGCAGCCCGTGTTTGCCGTGAGGCGGGAGCAACGGTCAGCACTGCGTGACCTAATCCTCGTGGTTGAGCGCCAAGACGACCGGCGCATCGAAGTCATCGCAAACGGCCTCCCGTTGTGGGGTGGTGCCCAGCTCGCTGACGACACCACTCTTGTCTCGGCCTTGGGTTCGGCTGGCCAACCCCGCCGCCAGCAACGCAGCACAACCGGCACGGCCTTGCGCTTAGCTTGGCGGGCGAAGGAGCGAACTTACCCTGAGTTGCTCCAATCGGCGGTTGCCGCCTAGTCGTCCTTGGCATCGAGCTTGGTGGCCGGTGGGGTGCCAAGGCTGCTCAGTCCGGCTGCTGGCACGCAGTGGTGCCCGCTCGGCCCCCAAGTGTCACGTTTGCCTGCGTGTCACGCTGGTCAGCGTTACTGTCGTTCTTGGACTTTCTTCTGCCTTGGACTACCGCATCCTGTCGCCGGGTTGTCTTGGACTCCTTGGACTAGGGCTTCCTGCCACGCCCTGCACCGGGACCACGGATTGGCTTAAAAAAATGCGGGAAAAAAGAGGGCCCCTTACCAGCGCCCCCGTTCCATAGGGGCGGGTGCTGAGGCGCTTGCACGAGCACTCCGCATGGCCACCGACATGAGCACGTCCACAACAGTTGTGAGTGTGGATGGGGTTGGGGCGTATAACCACATTTCGCGCAAGTGCACGTTTGATGGCCCCCTTGCATCGCCACCGTTGGCGCCCCTTATCTCTCTGGTCCGCTTTTGTTGTTTGTTTTATGACGCGTCGGGGGCTGATCCCTCCGTCCTCCAGGCGAGCAGGGGGACCTGCTCATGCCCGGCTCGTTCGCTGTGGGCATCCACCAAGCGTTGCGGGCCGCGCACTCCTTTTTCCAACCGGGCGAACAATTCGTTTGCGTTCTTGGATGACACGCAGGGGTGTTGAGCTGGTGGGCTTTGCGGATGAGGTCCTTGCTGATCCGGACCGCCCGCCTGCGTGGGTGGGCGATTGGACCTTCCCAGCTGAACAACAAGGCGGTGCTGGGCACGCCGCTATGGAGCCACGCTCTTGTGGTCGGTTGACCTACAATCCAAATTTGAAGCCCACAAAACTGTGTGTCCAAATTCCACTCACTCTGTTCCGGACTTGCAAGTTGCGCGGTTGTTCAGCGTCTTCCTGCGCGACATGAACGTTGATGTGACACTGGCATCGAAGGGCTGGCGACGGGCTGCCGGTATCGCAAGGTGCCCAGGCAGCTGTCGACGCCACCTTAGTCAGCCCAGTTGGCGCGTGCCGGGTAAAGCGGCAGCGGACCTGGCACGCCGGAAACGCGAAGCCACGTACCCGGAGCTGTTGACGGCCCGTAAGTGTCGCCTCTTGGTGCTGGCGGTCTAGGTGGGCGGGCCTCTCGGCGCCGAAATGGCAGGTTTATCGCTGTTTGACCGCTTCCAAAGCGGCACCGCCGTGGCTGCGGACTGTAGCCCGAGAGGCGTCGGGCACCGCTGGACAGGCATGTTGGCAGTCGCCGTAGCAGCTTCAGCCAACCAGGAACAGGCAGCTGCGAGGAAATCCGTATCTTACGTAGCCACGTGCTTGAAACTGAGACCGTTGCCTTACGATTTGTGTACGGCAAGGTCTGAAAGTCTGAAATCGACCTTTTATCTTTCCGGGGGCGTTTTCTGCTGGCCGTACAGCTGATGCGCCGCAGCACCCGCCCGGAGGACCCAAAAACATCTTATGGAGCCACAACTTTCCACAATGACTGCTTGACTGCCGCACCCTGTTTTGACTGTGACGGTTGCCCACATGATGTTGTAGCCCGTCGTATACTAGCGTGTGCGAAAACACGCCTGCACGATTTGCATCCGCTCGAGCCGTCAAACGCAAAATGCATGGATGTGAGGGAGGCAGCTGTACAAGACGTGGGCGGCTACGGAGAGAACTATGGGCAGTTTACGTATGTTGCCCATAACTTAGGCTTCACACGACATGATGATGATTGCATTCTGCAAATGCATTGCTTGCATTCAGACATTTTTCACATGAGGACAAAGATCGTCCCCATTACCTCTAACTACGCCCCACCAATCCAAGGCTGTAATTCTGGCCGAGAGGCCAACCATGGTACAGGCACTTGCGGCATTCACCGGTTTCAGCGAGGGTGTGCAAGATACATTGCCGTCTGCGAACGGTTTTTCTCGCCTCTATTGGTCGAACCGGCACCGCAGAGTGGACGAAAAGAATATGTCCCTTCAGTTTGCTGCCAGCGCGTACGTGCTGATCAGGGCACCTCCTCTTCAAGTC